ATTATATTAGAAGTGGAGCCGCAATATAATGGCTCAAGAATCATAGTTTTATAATTTATTGAATATATTTGAGCTAAATGGGCTTTATTTAGGAGAGGATCCTTATCTTTTTAATGGAGACTTGGTGGATTGAGGATCTTTCTCTGTTGACGTCATTTTAACATTAATTGCATTCAAGTGCATTATACCATTAGCTATGCATCTTGCTAGGGGAAATCATGAATAAGATGCTAGAAAAAATTATTTAGCTCTCAGAGGAAAACTTGAAAATTTGATGATGACGAGCTTCTTATATTTACATGTAAAATGCTACCTATGTGCTCTCAACAGTGAAATATGTTATATTACCTTTGGGGCATGCTCATAAGCATAGTTTAAAATTGCGCAATAAGAGGAGCGCCTTGAGGCGTGCCTTTGCGTAATTTGGATCGAGGACGCCTTATTGCCTAAGCAATTTTGGTATTTGCTGAGGCTTACGCCTCAAGTATAGTGAGGCGCGCCTCAATTGCGGTATTGCGCAATTTAGCTTGAGGCGTGCGCCTCATAGAAAGGGTCTCACTCACTTTAGTTTTAAATAAAAATGAAAATTTCCTTTTCCCTTCTACTGGTCCAAGTTGAACCGAAAGCTCCCGAACCCACAAGCTCCCAATCCCGGATCTCCAGCACGTCTCCGCCGCCTCTCCTACCGGCGCCGCCACTCACCGGTGAGTCCTTTATTTCCGGCCCTCCCTCTACATCACTTCTTTAAGAGTTCTTAGAGTTTTTTTTTAAGTTTAGGGTATGATTTTTCGACTTATAGGAAAGCTAGGGTTTTAATTTTTTTCAGTTTTTTATTTTATTTTGCTTTTTTCTTTTAGGAAATGTGATTAAGGGCAAGGAAAAGTCTAATACGTCATTACGGAGGGACCCTTCTTGGAAATACAATGTATAGGTTGACGTAAACGGCGGTGAGAAGACTTATGTGTATTTGAAATGTAATTTTTGTGATAAAGTAGTGAAGGGCAGAGTTACCTGCATGAAAGAACATTTATCATGCTCTCATAAAAATGAAGCAGCGTGTGCAAATATGTCGGACAAGGTGAATGATGAAATTATTGCTTACATGAAGAAGAATACCATGACAAAACATTTACAACATGAGCAATTTGATAAAAGGGTCGAACAAAGTACTTACTATGAGAGCGAGAGTGGAAAGGGCTCTTTCTCCACTATACATAATATAATTTTTCTTCTTGAAAATAGTTGAATGGTGAATCCAATTTGGTGATTCCACCCCTGAGTTGCAGAGTTTTGCTGTTTTAAGCATCACTTGTTCTTCTTCTGGGTGTGAGCGAAACTGGAGTACATATAATCAAGTACAAACAAAGAGAAGAAATCGACTTTCAACACTCAAAATGAACTCCCTTGTGTATATTATGCACAATAAGAGGTTGAAAGATATGAGGTTGAGGAACAAGGGGTTGAAGGATGATGAAGACCCGTTGGTATGTGATGATGTGTCATCTGATAATGAGTGGTTCATAGATAATGAGACAGATTTGTCATTATCAGACCTGCAGTTAGAGGATTTAAGTGTGGATGTCTTGAGGGGCGTAGCAGATCCAGTGGGCACATCCACTAGTACCACACCACACACATTCACTAGTTCTGCAACACAACAAGTAAATAAAGGTATTTCACAACTCCTTATGTGCTATTACATTATATATATATATATATGACTTGGGAAATTAATATGACAATAATCATTCTTATTGAACAGGGAAGAGAAAACTCAGTAACATTGAAGATGATAAATATATGACATTCATAGATACAATTGGAGAAGAAGATTCCCTTGAAGACCCATTTAGTAATTGGACATGATTGAATTTTATATGTTCTTTCTTATTTTTACTTTGGGAGTTTTGATAGACTAATATTTTGTTGTTCTGTACTTTGGGACATGATTTTATTGCATATATTTTCTTATTTTCTACTAATTTTACTTGTTATTTAGATGATTTTATTGTATGATAGAATATTACTATTATTTACCTGCTAAAATCCTTAAATTCTCATTTACACATTTCTTCGTCTGTGAGGCTTACGCCTCACACCGCCTCACCTTACAGACGAAAAATGCTTCGAGACTTATTTACCCAATTTTAAACCTTGCTCATAAGCAATAGGAAGCATGGCTTATTCCGCATGTGCTCTGATCTTTATATCAAATTCCTAAATGCAAGATCTGAGAATGCTTCGTGGATTCACTAAAAGTGTTCAAATACCCGATGATGGCCGTGTTGATAGAAAATCTCTGCCAGACCCTAACCTTTTAAAATATTCATGAACTCTAATGTAAATACAAATCTTTTAAAGTGATTGTAAAAACACCCTGATAATGGTCGTGTTGAATCTAAATATCAATCAGAAGGGTCAATTCTCAAAGCCTATTAAAATTTCAAAAATCTAATATCTATCTAATTTTAAACATCTAAATGAAAATTTAATCACCAAAAACTTTAAATTAAAATCCATCAACACTTTGCAATGGTTTGACGATGATGATGAATTGAAAAATAACTTCAACTCACAAAGAGCCATTGTATTGTGGAATACATTACTATAATTCATTCTCAATTGATTAATCACTAATAAGGATGTGACACGTGCCCTCTGACCGAATGATTTTGCCGCAGAATGACACCATTATATTATGATAACAGACAAAACCTGTATGTTCCCTAATGGTTAAAAGCCTCTTGAGTAATGCATTATAGGGTGTACTCTATAAGATATAAAGCCCTTTTTTAACTAATGTTAACTTAAATTCATCACCTTAGACAAACATCAATCTCAGGTCTACAAGGTATTCTTGGGCGAAGCAACCCATGGTTGCCAACAAGGTTTTTTCTGTCAGGTTGAGTCGATTATCTCCTCTGACTAAGTAGATTAGGGACTATGATAGCTCGGGATGACGAAATCATAGGATTTTCTTCGGTCCTGTCATCATTCCCCCATCAGCCGCTTAAAGTATATGGTGATAAATTTCAAATATAAAAAAAAAAAACAATTTTGGAATCCCTAAAGTTGTTGCTACTAAATGCTGGATACTAAGTGCCTATCTCACGACTAGCCTTAATCAAAAGTTCTCTCTTATTATCAAGAGGGGTAATTAATTATAGGGGCTTGCACCTATAGAAAACCATAACTCATATTGTAAATTCCTCGCAAAATGAGGGTGGAATTTCTGGGTTGTCTTTTCTAAATCATATTTGCCTTTTGAAAATTTACCCCGGAACCTAATGTTGACCCCAATACTGGTGTCAGGTTCAATTCGACCGCGCAAGGTGAATTTCGAAATCAAAAAGCATGAAATCGCGCATAATTCACCCGGCGCGTGTCGACCGAAAACCCAAAATCGTCGAGACGACCTCCGTTCGCGAAACGGACAGCGCCGATGCGTCCGGAGCAACGGAAACAGCTAAGATCGACACCCATATTGGTGGGGGTCGTCGGTCGGCGAAAAAATTAAATTTTGGGCTCGCGAATCGAGACGACGACTTGTGCGAGCGGCGACGCGACGACCAACTCGATGCAATATTAAAAATTTATTTTTATTTTTGTGCAATATAATTAAAAAAATTAGAAAAAAGAGAGAGAAAGAGAGCTTTTAAAAAAAAAGAATTTTTTTTAAATAAAAAATACCCTAAATACCCCCACTTAACCTCATAACCCTCCTCACTCTCTAACCCGCCAAATCCACGATCCTCCCTCTCCCTCGCACGACTCCAAGCCGCCTCCCTCTCCCTCTTGCGATCCAAAGCCGCCGGCCTCCCTCCTCCTCCAAGCAAGGTGAGATTTCCTCTTCTTCTTCCTCTTCTTCCTCCATTTTCTTCTTCTCCATCTTCTTCTTCCTCCTTCCCCCTTCCTTCTTCTTCTCCATTTTTCATCTTCCCTCATCTTCCCTCCAAGTTTCCCACCATTTCCTTCAATTTTCTTCCTCCCCTCTCTTCTCCTTCCTCTCCTTCATCTTCTTCTTCCTCCTCTAACCTTTTTTTCTCAAAACCTACACCAAACCCTAACCCTAATTATTTTTTTCTCTCACTTCCACTCATTAAACCACCCACTACCCTTCACAAAAAACACTTCCCTACACCTCCTACACCATTCCAACAAAAAAAAAATTTCATTCATCACTTTCTCTCTCTAACCTAGAGAGAGAAAATTTTCTCTCTCTAGAATGAGAGTGAAATTTCTTCGTGAATAGCTCCATATCCACCCCAAGCATCTTCCCTCTCAACCATACCTCCAAATTCCTTCTCTAGAGAGGAAAAAATTACACACTCTCTCTTTCTCTCTCCAAAATTGAGAAGAGAGAGATTTTCTCTCTCTAAATCTCTCCTCTCACTTCCTTGCACCTCCTAAACTCTCTCTACGCAAATTCCCTTCAAATTTCATCTTTCCCAGATCATAAAGTCCTCACAAAATGAGGGCGAAATCTCTGGGTAGTGTCTTATCTACAAACCCATCTGCCTTCCAAAATTTACCTCGGAACTTATTCACTTAAAACTCCCCTCGCCGATACAAAAAGCAAATCAGAAATCGCGCGGCGGGGAGGCCGGAGCCGAATTTTCGGAGCCCACACCTAAATCCATTAAAACTCGTCCTCTCAACAAAAGGTGTAGAGAGGTCAGGGCGCGAATTTTCGGAGCCCATATATGGTTGATTAAATTGAATAAAGTTAGGCCATGGGTAGAATTAAGTGTCAATGTAGCACGTTTGTAAGGCAGAGCATTTACGGTGTCATATAAATTTTAGCTCAAGTTAAGTGAGGCTTTTAAAGATCGGCTAGTGATAGTCGCACTTGCTTTTTTAATAGAGTTTTTTATGCAAGGGCCGCATAGTTAATCTTTAACCATGTTTTCACTAGCATAATCCCATCTTTAGCTAGATAGTTTGTTCTGACAAAGTAATTCATTTAATCAACTTCTTGAATAACAATTCATCCATTACAGGTGCAACAGTTACATCGAATTGGAGCACTGAGTGTACCCATACTCTTGTCAATGAATCTTCTTTGGTGACAACAGAACTTATTGAAGCAATTCTGGCCAAACAGTTAGTTATACTTGTTCATTGGTTTGAGGTATCTTCTTGCAAATTTCTTTGCGTATGTTTTTTTTTTTCTTGAACTCCAAGTGATTGAATGTTTAATTGCAATATTAAGTTACACGTAGATGTTTACTTTTGCTTATTGCCAAACTTTATTAAGCACGTTTTTACTTTTCACTTATTTAGTTGTATAATGACTCTTGCTCAGGCTTTCCTTTGCGTTATAGATCATTATATGTTTACATGGAGCATAGTATTCGTTATTCTTTTATACATGGTTTATGCTAATATTATAAATTTTGACGTCACTTAGGTGCTTGCTGAGAAAAATATTTGTACGGAGTTTCCAAGCTGTACAGCGTAAGTTTTTCTTTGTTCCCTTAATTTGAATTTTTTCCATTTGGCTAGAACTTTTCTGATGAGTAAATGTATTCTTTTTGTTCCTAAGTTTCTCAAGTATTGCTTAATTTACTCAGCTATTTGCCAAACCTGAACCTTGAGGATAATATGGTAAGGATTGTGGATCCTAAGATTCGAGAAAATTGCCTTGACGGCTATCTATTTGTACTGGGATCATGTCACGAGGTAAGATGCTCTAGTCCTCTGCTTCACTTGGTTTGGATGGCTACATCTGTTTCTGCTTGACTGGTAAACATGAGGTATTTTCAGCAGTATAAATTTGGCGATAAGTTGCAGCTACTACTTGAAATGATTGGAGCAAAATTTGTTGGTGCTGATGAGTATCTGTTAGATAGCCAAGTAAGCTTTGCCACACTATAATTTTATAAAAATGTTTTATGGCTCTTCTGATGCTAACAATCTATCTGTTAAATAACTGTGTAATCTAGCTCTTATTTTGGTTCCCTCATTATTACCAAAGACGTCCAGTCGCTCTAACTTTATGATCCTTCTGTCTTAGATAATTCCCTGATGCCCAATCATACAATCATATTTATTTTTTAGGTTGGCTCCAAAATCATCAGCAGATTTCTTGCCTGGGGCTACCAATGTGACTGTTTCATAGGCTATTCATGGTTTATTAGACTGGTTAGTGCCTTCCCAATTAGAATAGATTGGGGTTCAGGGAGGAGTTAAAAGTTGCCTAAGGTCTTTTATCCAAGGAGATAAATTTTCCATTAGTTGATATAGTAACATGGAGGGGCAGTCTCATAGGAGAAAGGAAAGGAACCTGAACTAAACTTTACAGCTTTTTTCCATGACCACAAATGAATGTATGCTAGAGAACAAGCCCAAAACCTCACCATAAAAAATTATAACCAGGTTAGCGAGGGAGAACACTTAATCCTGCATATTTGTTCTGTCATGCTTGATGATGCCTCATTTTGGAAAGATCCAATGCAAGGACATGGGAGCTTGGGTTTTGTAGTGAAATTGACAAACATAGAACTTTACACACTGGTGACAAGAGTCAATTAAGTAGAATGCTGTTGCCTTTAGTTGGGTATATAAGTGCCAAAAAATGCTAATAAAAAAACATAGATGTAAAGTGGATAAATGAAATTAACACGTCATTTGAACTAGTTTCAAAAGCACATGTGAGTTTTGAGGTGTAATACTTGCCTTATTTGAACCATAGAACATGTACACATTGGTTTATCAAATGGTATCAAGAAGGTGCGGATTTGTTTTGTTATGGAGACTTGCTTTTGTTGTATGGAGGCTTCCATTGCAGTTTCCAGCATGTCTTTTATATCTCAAATATCACTTTCTAGTACACATCATTATATGTTTTACAACTGCCACAGAAAAATGGGAGTAGTATTAGTGGTGAGATTCTACGGATGGAGTAAAGAGAGTATGCATTTTTTTCTTGATATATATATATATATATATATATATATATAAGAGAGAGAGAGAGAAGGATCAAAATGACCCCAAACTCTTTGTAAGGGATCAAAATGACCCCCTAACTATTTTGAGGGACCAATTTGGTCCCTCAACTCCTTAAAATGTGACCCTTTTGGTCCTACCATTAAAAGATAATGGAAAATTTGGATGGTAGTAGGGTATGATCGGAATAACCACCAAAACAATAATAAGAAAAAAATGGATAATGATAGTAACCTTCATAGCGAGCGAGCTCACATTGCTATGGCTGCTCCAACGGGAAGAACGATGAAATTTCACAACTTTTGATTCGACCAAGGAGTGTTGTCAGCGAAGGCGAAGAAGGCTTTAGCAACTCGTTCAAAACCCTCCCGTCACCAGTGGCGGAGCCAAAAATTTTATTTTGGGGACCCTAAATTAAAATAGTTCTGCTTGTCGTCTCATTATCGGGCAGTCTCCGTTTGGGGGCAAGATGCATATATAAATTTAAAATTTATAAATCTTTTATAAATTTATATATTTTTATAACTAAATTTTTGTATGTTTGATCCATTTTAAAGCGTTGAGAAACCAAATTGATCCCTCAAAATAGTTGTTTCAGCCTAACAGAGAAGAAGTTGAAGAAAGGAACAGAGGTGTTCGATCCCATTTTATCAGCGAAAGCAATAGTCGATCGAGGCGAGTAAATCTTGGGTTGTTTTAGATCCATTTAGCTGGAGATTTCAGCTAGACTTTCGGCGTAGAATGTCCGAGGTAATTTGGATTTCGATTTGATTTTTTATTTTTTTATTTTATTGATTTATAATAATAATAATAATAATAATAATAATAATATTATTATTATTATTATTATTATTATTATTATAGAAATGACAAAAATGATGTCGAATTTGCATTCATCGATTTGCGCACAATTTTCTCAAAATTCGTGCATTTTTGGTTCAGGATGCATACTGATTTTCTCACGCGATTTTCGTTGAGCGAAATTATAGTCATATTTTGGTATTGTCGACGTTCCAAACGTAACGACAAAGTCTGTTTTGCGATCAGACAACGTTTGGGCAGCGTCACATGTCGCTTTCAGATGTTGATCACCGATTTGAATATTTTTGTCTGATTTGATTGCGACGGGTCCCCTCTTAGGAGAATTCGACGCTCCGATCGTAACGGTGCCATTCGTTGAGCCATCGAAGGTCATTTTACCATTTAAGTGATGCGTCGCATCCGCTAACCGTCGCTTAAGTCGTCAAATTTACCTCCTTTCGCGTGTCTTTAGTGTAGAGTTAACATAAATCATTACCATATTAATAATTGCTAATTACTCAATGTTATTCCTTTATCGCTACTATCCCTTTATTATTGTTGATGCCAACCTTTTGATTGCCATTATTACTACATGGTAATTATGTCTTAATTGTTGCTATGCATAGTAGCTTTAGCGCCTCCATATTATTTCTTTGCTCGTTATTCATTATTACCACCTTCAATATTTGCCGCTTTCTACTTTGCCTTTCTCACGATGGGGCTCTATCCACTTATATTTCTTGCTACCTATTTTGCTTGCTATTCCTATTATAATATCATGCTGCCTCTTTCCTGGCTTTCCATTTATGGTACTTCCTCTTTGCTGAATCCTTTAAGCAATTTTGGAATTGGGTTTCATGGGAGGATTTCTACCATTGGAATTAATGAACAATGAATTAATGAAAAATGAATTACATATTTTGAGAAGTTTATTTTTATGTTTTTTTAGGTTATAAATAAGACACTTGAGTCATTAATTTTAGTGAACATCATGTATTGCAATAAAGATTTAATTTTTCTCTTATGTGTACCCGTTGGATGTGCATTCTTCTAGTTTTTAACCAGTGTATTCATTCCTTAAGGGTGATTTTTATCATCGTTCTTGTCTTTTAAATTATTTAGTCGTCGGTTTTGCTTGTGTGATTGAACATTTATCAAGTAAGATATATGTTGTTTTTTACTCATTCGTTGTTAAAATTCAATGTTGGTTTGTTGTTTTCTTGTAAAATTTCTGATTTGTGTGTTTATTGAATTACCTTTTGGAGTGAGTTAAGCATGCTTGCTTTTCTTGTATTAAAAGCATTTGACTTTTTGTTAATTAATAACCCGTAAATTGCAAATTTTATGTTTTCATATTACATATCATCATAAGTTGCATTCTAATGTAAGCACACTAGTTAGAAAAGCAAAAACAAGGAGAACAATGGGCAGAACTTAACCAGACTCGATTCAAATAGTAGCAATCATCTATAACATCCAAAATACGACGAAAATTCTAGAAGAAAATCAAAGAAACAAAGAAAATAAAAAATGCTATCCTCAAACAACCGTCAGAGCGGTTCCTCACATGCATCGAAATATAGGTTAAAGTAAAATAAGTGCTTAGGGCTAGCAAACCGATGGTCCACCACAGCAAGATCGTCCAATCCGTCCAATCCAAACTCCTCCAGCAAATGCTCCCAAATCAGCCAACAAACACCACCAAAGCTCAAGAAGAATGATACAAATGGAGTGGAACTTGCGGAGAGACGAAAGAGGTAAGAAGCCAAGACGAAAGAGGAGAAGCTCGCAAGCTTTTCTAGAGGAGAAGGAGAATGGAACAAGCTCGCAAGCTTTTCCAAGAAGAACCCTCAAGTTTATAGCAAATTTGCTCTCAATATTCAACTCCTCTTCCCTCTCAAAACATCACATATTTATAAGCAAGAGAGGAGAAACCAAACAGCCCCAAAAAACCCTTCATATTCTTAATTTAATGAGGGAAATGAAAAGCCAACAGCCACCTCATAATATTCCACAATTCTACACAGGAAACAAAGAACCAAAGCCACGGAAAAACCCCCAGCAACCACGGGAAAACAGCCCAGCCTAGGACCCGAAGAGGCAGCCACAGGAACCAAAGAGGCCCGCACGGAACCGTGGAACCAAGGCACGGGAAAACCACCTATCACAGAAAACTAATAGACATCCACGGAAACCCACGGGACAAAGGCATGGAATTTTAAGAAAAAGGGGAGGAGAAGAGACAAGACCACTCCATAATGTATCCAACTTATGAGCTTACCTTAGAAGATTAATGAGCTAGCAACTTAGTAATTAGAGCTCAACACCAATGAACCACCTCCTTCCAATCATCACCATAAGCCCAAAACTGTGGACCATAAGCCCAAAACTGTGGACCATAAGCCAACCCGTGAACCAGCAGCAGCCAAGGACCAATCAAGCTAGCAAACCAAAGGTCTACTAAACCCCAAGCACAACCTACCATGATCATTGGATGCCTTCCATCATTGGATAGCTAAAAGAAAAAAAAAACATAAAAAACTACATTAACATACTAATGTTTTTAATAAAAATACAGAATATTTGATAGCATCACATTCCTGGACCCTTGTCGTCTTACATCGCTGCCTACATGTATGAATATACCATGGCAGACGGTTGTAGGTAATTGCTTTTTCTTATTACCATTATGCATTCAACTTATTTTCCTTGAAAAAGTTATAAAATGAAATTTTTGGTCTAGTTTTGAACACTAACCTCCAATTTGTGCCGAGCATTAACTTCCACATAATCTTATCAAATAATCTAAATTAGGATGTTATCCACCTGTCTAGCTGTGCCAGTAGCCAATCAATATAGTTTGAACATTAGACTTTTTTTACTGAAAGAACAATTTATAGTACAGCTATAAAATCTTTTCTTATATGTTCAGCCAACTTTAGCAATTTAAATATATATATTTTCAGGTATAACTTAATTTATTATAATACCCAAAAAAGAAAAAAATGCGTTAGCTAATTTATTATCCAATGCACTACTTTGAAATAGATTACTTGGACCTATTTCTAAACTTATTTATAAACATTTAAAGTATTTTAAAATAACTAAAATATCATTCAAGCAATGTACATTTAAATTTCTCCAAAGCTATGGAACTCAAGATGAAGTTAATTACTTAAACTGAAACATGCTTTGAAGATTCTGTACCAAAATCAATGCCTATGTTTAAACCATTGGATGCATGCGGTACTTGATTAAGATTATGTCGATTTGTGTTTGTCACTAGTTAGCTCTCTTAGTTTTTATGCTTGATTGAACTATCTTAAGAAAAAGAAAAACTTAAATATTGAGGGCATAGAAATACTTCAAATCAGCTAGGACTGTAAACTTTCTGCATTGTTTAGGCAAGAGCAAATCCACTAGTTTAGTGCATGCTTGTCCCACATTTTTTATGCATTTGAGGCTGATATATTTGGTATTGCACTGGAACATTTTGTATAATCAAATTTCTAATGCATATTCATCCCGGAGGTTTCATCTACATGTTTGGCAACTTTTCAAGACTCATTTTGTAGTTGTAGTGTGGGTTGTATTTATTTGACATATTTATTGCAATCATCTAATATTATTCTAGTTTAAGATTATGTTGGTTGATTAAATCCATTTTGTTAAGAAATGTCTTCATTAGTAATTTCTTATTTTATTTTCTATCATGTTTATCTAACTAATATAACTTTTAGACTTCAACAGTAAAGGAGAATAATCAGGTGGTTCTTGTAGTTTCGGGAGAATCAACCAGTGAATTCAACAACTCTCGAAAGTTTTCTTCTTTGTCTCGAATCAGTGATGTAAAACTAATGGTTGCTATCTTATCTGGCAACTTGGATTCATCTCTCATCGAGGTTCCTTCTAGTACGTATATTTGATTGATTGGCCATTATTGTCATTTATTTAGTTTTACCAGGAAGTTCTTTTAGATAATTGCTTGAAGTAAATAGTTAATTTTCTACACAATGAGTTCATTTTTACTTAATAGAGATTATATTTGGATGCATGAATGCATCTTGAGATATCGGTATCCACTCTTTCTATATATAATAAAAAAGGTCATCATCATTATTTATTGATTGTATTTTCATATAAATTATAATTCTTGCGCGTTGATTTTTTTTTTTCAATGCTTGATAAGTCTTTTATAATTTGACATGTATTTTCGTTGCTATCTTAACATGTTGCGTTACCTGCTTTGATAAAACTCTTAGGAAAGTTTGTCAACCAATGTCTTAAATAACTACCTTAACTGTCATAACTATCACATTTGAAATTTAAATATTAAAATTTTGAATTTAAAGAGTCCAAATTTCAACATTGTCTACTAAATATAAATTAGTACATTGGATCTTGCGATTAGTTTCTTCATGGTTCCCTTAACCATTTTTGCTTTATGTGTTACATCATTTCTCTTACATATCTGGGAATTTTTTTTAAAGTGTTGAAATCAATATAGTTATCCACAATATGTATGCTAACTTTCCATATCATCTCTTGAAAATCCTGTATATTTAGATGCTGACTTGCCTTTCCATCTCATTAGAAATCTATATTCTTCATGTTGATATGATGATACCTTAGCTATGATGATGTGCTCAATCTCGAAGAAAGAATGCTAATTAGGCTTTTGTTAGTGATAATCATATTCTCTGGCAAAAGAACCATCTTATACATCTGGTGTTTGTTGACCTCTTTATATAATGTAATATCTTTTACATAAAACAGTCCAATAAAAATGTCAAATGGTAATCTAAGAACATGTGCATTAGATCCTATATTTCTAATTATTTTGGATGGCCCAAATGCTCTAGCTTGTATATATATAATTTACCTTATCAATATATTTAGTATCACTTTCTATCAACTGTTGCCTTGCATTGTAAAACCAGAAAACTGTCAATCGGATTCGTCGCGCGCATTTCAATGTGCCGCGACAAATTTAGGTGAATTTTCAAAGTCGTCGGAATTCCACGCAATAAATTTTATTAAATTCTATGCGAAATTTCGATCGAAACGATATAAACAACGTATACCAAATTTCACACGGTTTGGAAATTAAAAATTGTTGAAGATGTTTAAGTAATTTTTAACCATTTCTACCCATTTTACCCTTCATGTGATAGTAGGGAAGAAATTGAGAGAGGGGCACATGCGTCATTTCTCTACCCAACACCCTTAAGGCTCTAAGGGACCGAAATATCCATTTGTTCGGCCGCACGAGTGAAGAGAGAGAGAGAGAGCGGAAGAGAGGCGACGACGTGGGCTTGGCGAGCGGCGGCCGACGAGTTTCCGGCGGCAGTTTAGAGGGGAAATCGAAGGGAAGGCTTAGAGAAGATAAAAGGTAAGTTTTAAACTTAAAAATCTTGTTCTTTCACCTAGATTTTCATGAATAAAAAATTTAGGGTTTTACTTTTGATGGGACTTTCTTTAGAAAGGTGATAGGGCTTGATTAGGAGCATGCTTCTAAGTCATAAAAATTGAATTTCCTCAAAGATTTTCAAGTTTTCAAACTTTAGGGTTTCTCCAATTTGAATTAGTTTTGTAAGGAATGCTAGAAGATCTTAGGGAAAGGAATTGTATGAAGGAAAATGCAAATTTTCTAAAGATTTTTAGGTTTTCCAAATTAGGGTTTTTTCCTAATTATGAAATTCTAAGCTTGCATGTTAACTAATTTTATTCCTAAGGATCATGGGAAGTCTCTAATTAAGAGAAACTGGAATTTTGATAAAATTTTTTTTTCTAATTTTTATATGTATTAATCCGAAAATTAAATGCCCTAAATTTATATTTAGGAAAATTGGATGTTTTAATATGCAAATTTAATGATATTAGTGAAGCATTAGGTTTCTCAAAATTTGATTTTAGGTAAAACCGAAAGTTACATTTAAATTTATCTTAATTTAGGAAGGGATGTGTTAAAATACATTAGATTATGGGTTAATAATAAAGTGATTAACAATTAGGATTGATTAATGTTTAATTTTAATTAGGATCTATGTTAGATAAAGTTTACATTAGATTTATGACTTATGTTATATGTTGTATCATACATGATATTTGCTTAGGATTAGGGACCTAATGATATTCAACTATAGGAATAAGAGTTATAAACCTTGCGGACTGATAATCATTTTTTTCATAGGTCTTGAAAAGGGGAAGTGATAATGGTATGAGGTGAGACGACGGTTTCAAGATTTGTTTGCTTGAGGTAGGTACAGTGGACTCTTCAAAAAATTCAATAGTCTTGTATGCTTTTTTAAAAATCAAATGCATTATATATTTAAGTATATAAACTTTTTAGAAGCATATAAATTTTATGTTGAATGAATTAGTAGGATTACTTCAATTATGTTGATATATGATATTGCATATCATAAGTCATACATGTGTTATTATAGGTTCTTAAGTCATACATGTGTTATTGAAATTATTTTGTTAGGATAATATAAAGTTACACATTTTGCCTTTGCATAAGAATGAAAAAGATTAGAAACATATGTATGAATTTTAGTTGTGTTAATTACCTATCCTAAAATAGATAGTATATATGAACTTGTGCATGTTGAGGCGGAGTACCAATATGATGCCTTGACACAATATAGCTCTCTAGAGCAAATATGACCCTATGGGGCAATATGGAAAGAAAGGGAAGAAAGGAAAATGATATGGCCATTAAATATGTGTACCTGATAAGTATAATTTCAGTACTTCAGTACGGGTGTTTATAATATGAAAAAGATACTAAGTTTATTGATGATTGAAATGACATTGATAGGCATGACATGAAATGATAAGCATATGGTATATAACTTATGTCACTAAAGGAAGTATGGCACATAAGGAAAACATCCAGATAGTACATGGCTACTTTGTATGATATTCTATTATTTAAATTCCTTGAAGTACAAGTCAAGCATGCATATTGGTTCTTCTTGCATTGTAATTGAAATTTGGTATAGTAAATTGATACCTGCTGAGCGTTAGCTCATTCCTTGATTTTGGGATATTTTCAAGAAAACCCGCTGCTAAGAATGGTGAACGCCCTTGGTTCACCTACAGTCGTAGAAGATCTGATGACAAGTTCCTCTTATGTCTCTTCTAGTTGTAGTTTACATGATTTTGGGTGATTTTGCGTGAATGATAGATTTTATAGCCACCTTTGTATATATGTGAATCTCCTTATGAAATGATATGAAATGTTTAATCTAATTTGGAAATTATTTAGATGCGCTTTTAGTTTCCTTTTAAAGTGTTTTAGATTTCTTAAATGCATGTTTTAATAAAGTCTCATGTTATGAACATCCCGCATCCATTCCCGCCTCATCTACATGAGCTCATCGGGCCAAGTTGTGATAAGAGTGGTATCAGAGCACAAGTTTAGGATATGGATCACTATAAAGCGCCATTAGGATGATTTATGATTCTTAGACATATTAGGGTTTATATTTATACGAAGATGATTGAATGAGAATTTTTTATTTGGTTTAGGGTTATGAATTAGGAGCACGATGCCACTAATGACAACACTGATGGGAATAATGAACAGGCTGATAGAGAAGTTCCAGCAATACCATCTGTAGTACAACCTCCTGGTGGTAGCAGCAGTACTACCATAGACACTTTTACACAGATGATGGCTGCTGTGACATAGTTAATTCAGCATTTTCAAGAGCAGCCTCAATCTAGTTCCAGGAGAGAGTCATATGTAGACAAGTATCTGAAAATCTTTCAGGATATGCGACTACCTCTCTTTACGGGAGTAGGAGAGCCAGTTGATGCTAAAAATTGGCTTATGAGGGTCGAGAAGATTTTGGAAGGTATGCATTGTCCGACTGATCTGAGGGTAATTTTAGCCACCTTTGCTTTGGATGGGGAAGCTGAAAGATGGTGGAGAGGACAGCTGTTGGAGAAATTTGGTGGCAGAGCAGCATCTCAGATTTTATGGGATGATTTTGTTATAGTCTTCAAAGACTAGTTTGTGCCTCTTTCTGCGAGGAGGCAAATGCAGGAGCGATTTATTCGGTTAGTACAATAAGATCGGACAGTTATACAATATGAAGCTGAGTTTACAATGATGTCCCGTTATGCATCTCAAATTATCCCAAGTGCTGAAGACAAATGCCATAGATTTTTATCAGGGCTTTGCGATGTGATTCTCCAGCCGTTGATCCCTTTTGGCCTTGATGATTACGCTTTTTTAGTTGAGAGAGCAAGGAGGATAGAGATTGAATTTCAAACTATTCAGAAAAGAATGGATTTCTTACAGAAAAAGAGGGGTTTTGAGAAGACCAAGAGCTTCCAGGCATATTTTAGAGGACTTAGTATGAAGAAGACCATATCTGATAGTGGTGAGAGTTCATCCAATGTCAGAACTTGTGATAAGTGTGGCAAAGTATACAGAGGCGAATGTTTTTTTGGCTCCAATGTTTGTTTTTGGTGCCATCAGTCAGGGCACATGGCTAGGAACTATCCAAGGGGTCCAAGGGAGGTGAGGTCTAGCGCTCCTCTACCTCAGTAGAGTATTGGGAGGCATCCGAAAGTTGGTAGACCTACTATGCTATCACGCAGCAAGAAGCCAAATAATCTTCTGATGTGATTACATGTATTATTCATGTTCAATTTCTACCTAGTAGAGTGCTTTTTGATACCGAAGCATCACATTCATTCATTAGTCAGGAGTTTGTTAAGAAGCATGCATTGAATGTCCGCACTATGCCCACTACACTATTAGTTTTGCTTCCTGATGGGTCTTGTATGATTGTCTCTAGTGTATGTTCATCACTACTTTCTATATGCGAGAGGGATTTTGAAGTTGAGTTGATTGTATTACCACTTATGGAATTTGATGTGATTATAGAGTG